TGGCACAGGACATACATTTTTTTCAGTATTCAGTTACGGTCGCATCCCGGTAATAAAAATTGTCTCGTTCCTAATCTCTGTAATTGGTATGGATAGTGGTTTTTCCATGCATGATGGTATACAAATGACTTTTTGCCGTTTTCAATGCGTATTCCGATTCTATTTGAAGTCGAAAATCAATCATTTTTTGACAAACGTTGTTGCATTATCATACATTCTAACATCATGAAAAAATAGAACCTTTGACACAATTAAGATTTGATAGTATTTTTTGTTATTTGATCCGATTTACGTTCTCCCTCCTCTGTTATTATAAACCTGAACCGTAATTTTGATATATTTACATCTTTCATGTGAATAAAAAAATATATTTTACTTCAGCAAAACAATGATGTCATACCATTTTCCTGTACCCTTGAATATTATAAAACATAATAGTAAATCTAATAGCACACGCATCTCAACAGAATGATTTCTATACCCCGTGGTCCGTGTACTGACCAAATATCACAACATTTTATCCCTTAGAGAGCCCCATAGCAAAATCATACTTACCAGTCACTTGTCCCTGCCTTTCGCATAAACTACTGAATACAAACATGCCCATTTACATAACAAAGTAAGTTCATCAGTTTTCTAACTTAGACAAACATACTAGCGAGGTCAATGCTTTTACATATCTATTCATAACATAAACTGCATTTCTGTCGATTCCACTTCAGCTTTTTTTTTTTACTTTATACCGACTATCCGGAAGAATGTATGCATCGTACCACGGAATAAGATTAGCTATCTAAGTCCGTGACCTTACTAATTGTTAGGGCAGTTACTTTATCCTTCAATACTTCCCACCTGCAATAATGCCATCGTAACATAATCCTTGCGCTATCTTTTGACGCGGTAACGGTTTTCACTTGTTTACACTTTCCACGGCATGTCATTTTGTTAATAATTAAAGGGCGTACTATGCGCAAACGTTAGAAAACATGACGCAAAAGGAACCCCGTACAAAACGGTAGAAATCCCCATAATTGTCTTGAAATTATACATTTTTACGAACATATGTAAGCAAAATCCGATCGTCATTTCCCTTAAGGAGACATATTTGACATGTTTATGTAGTATTTGAAGAATAAAAAGACAAAAACAAATCACCGTGATGTCGCTTTAACCCCTTACATGTACATGTAGTTATATATTTATTTACCATACACCTTGCAATTCTTCAGCATTACAGTTTCTTACCCGTACTACAACTGAGTGGCTTCTAGTTCATACCGTTTTCTACTTTAACTTTTCGCCTTTTCATTGTTTAACGTCCTTGAAACTGTTATTAAAAACATATTAAAACGAGTGTCCATGGACACACTGCTGAAAGGTGCCCTAGTATTACAATGGGGAACGCAGTCAAAGCTTGGTCTCGTTAACCACCTTACATTGTAGTAGTAAACACATAAGAAAACTTCCGGTGCAGCGAAGGCCCTACATTAGTCGCCTCCTGTCATTACATTCAGTGAAATACAACAGGTATATTCCTTCCCCGAAACGCCAGTGGTTATTCTCCTACTCTTTATTATCGCTACCAATCGGTTTAAAAACAAATCATTCTCTTTACTTCGGTCTTTCTCTAGATTTATAATATTATCGTGAGACGTTAAATATTCCCTTTAAATTCTTCAAAGACACATCTCCTTTCTCCTTCCGCGATGTTTCACGCATGCGATATGATAACAGTAGATATGGAATAAACACAACTATAGGTCATTTAAGTGTATTTTACCTTGATCATATTCCACGGTGGGAAGGCATTCATATCGGTTTTTAGTTATTGATTGAGAAAAGAGAGAAAATAACAACATTTCGATATGTTTAACCCTGCACGATCGATAAGACTACAAGCGTGCAACCAACCCAGAACATACCACAATACAGTGTTAGTGTGACGTAATCAGGCTTAAATACTCCTTATAAATTCTTCATAGACACATCTCCTTTCTCCTTCCGCGATGTTATGAAATTGCTAGCTTTTTGAAAGATTAACTAGATGAGTGTTAGGCAAGTCTAGTTGGTTCAGAAACCGAGATGATTAGAGAAATTTGGATACAATCTTTTACGGGTTTTCGGATCTTAAGAAGTAAAGTGCGGGAGATGTTTTTAGGAATATCTTTTGTATTCCAGAATTTCGGCAATACAAGTGATACGAATTTCTCAGAATATGTCAAATGAAATAATTTAAGAACATCTATTCATGCATACTACTGTACCTGTCTATAAGTAGAGTCGACCTCTAAGCAGATTTCCCTTTGCGCTTAGCATATTGCTTATCGTATTGAGGGGGTTGCATGATTTTCACAAATACCTAAGACTATTCTAAAAGTACAACAACCCATAACCTAGTATTAAACCTTTAAGCAACATGCTTGCCTTTGTAAATGTTCGCAAATTAACAATATATGGATTCTGCATTTGCCTTTCACCAAGGCGGCCGGGGTTCGATTCCCCGATCGGAAGTGAAAAGGTATGGGGTCACCTGCCCGATCTCGTTGGTTTTCTCCGGGTACTCTTACATTAATACCCTCCGAGCGCTAATATCCGGGCCAACAAGAGTGATCAATATAAGTCGAATTAACTCTGTTTTTATAATTATTGAAAAAAAAAGAGTATATAAAACGACATGGAAAACAGATTTTAACAGTTCCAAAACTTTCACGCCTTATCTTTATAAGTGACTTTAGATTTGATAGGGACTATATTCCTTTTTTGCCGAAATTGTTAAAAATTTCATTTCATTTGCAACGCGAAAAAAACATAAATAACCTCAACATATTCAAGAAATGATTGCGTTTCGACAGTATGCTACTGGGAAATTGCAATCATGAAATGATGAAATGCATTGAACAGTCCAAATAATGTCAAAAGATTTGGACCGTTCCCCTTTGCTGCTGCGTTGATCAGAAAACAGCGAGCAGATGTTAATGCAGTTGCGAGGTTTCCGTGAGTTGTTAGGACAATTGACAGTACATATAACCACATTTTACGTCCTAGTTAGTATATATGACTCGGAGTTAGTAAATAGGAAAACATTCCACTCCATAAATAATCAGGTATATGCAGTTGTAGATGCAAGTCATTGCATTATGGAATAAGTTGCAAAGAGGCAAGGGTCAGCACATGACGCCAGGACGTGAAAGTTGCCTAGTCAGAACAAGAATGATACCAGTAAAATGTCATTTACTTGGCGATGTGTATCACCGTAAAAAATTGGCTTCAGACAATTTACATTAATCCACAACCTAGAGCACAGACTCTATATAAAACAGGTAACTATTCCGTAGTCTGTGTTTTTTTTCTTTCATGAGTTTCCTGTTCGGTTAGTGGTTGTGTTTTTGTTTTTTGTTTTTCTATAAAGGGAAACTAATTCTAATTGCAAAACCAAACGTGCTCAAAACAGGGGAATCGCAGAAACACTGAAGGGTTAGTTTGTGCTCCTAGTATCTAACTGACGGTATTTTCAACAGAAATCAACGATAATCATGTGCCCATGTGTGGGTATATCCTTTCTGTTTACCAGCATCAGGTTTTTATAAAAATATGGTATATTAATTCCATGCAAATTGGCACAGCTGATATAAAAAGCATGTTTTCACAAAAGAATATCGTAATGTTAAACATTCAAAATAGAAAAAAATAGGGACTGTGTAAGTTGGAATTAGTTCATTAATGCTATATACATGTTAATATAAGTCATCTACCGTCTGGCTCTGTATGATCTTACTGTGTTGATGGGATGTTAAGATAAACCATTTATTGTGCATTACAAGGGTAGAGTAAAGGCAACATTAATCTTATTTCCCTAATTTAAAAAAAAAATCGTGATATAAGGGGTTAAGATGTAATGTAAGCAAACAAGCAATTACAGACACAATAATCAATACAAATTGTGTCTTTCCCTACGATTCATATGTTTATATACAGGTATCAAAATGTAATTTTTAAGTTATTAACTGCTAGTATCCCCGCAACATGAGGAAATGTAAACATACACTTGTTCACACCATGTATTTGATTATCCTCTCCCATTCAGAAACCATTTGATTTCTCCTCTCCCTAGACCATTTCAATATCTGCTAATTTCTTGATACATGATAAAAGACATTTTATTTACTCATTCGCGATGTAAAGATAGTTGGGGGAAAGTTAAGTAGCCAAAGAATACCGTCTATAGAGTGTAAAGTAATGTACTTTGTAATGTTGCAAGCGACCTTTTTGGTTGCTTGAGGTTGGGCGTAAGTACATTATTAAGTACATATTGAACGCAAACAAAAAGTTCTTTTTATCATAAATTGATGTGTTTTCCAGGAAATGATAATTATCGTTCTTTTGAAAAAAAAGGAAATGTAAAGTAATGTACTTTTTAATGTTGCAAGCGATATTTTAGATTGCTTGAGGTTGGGAGTAAGCGGCCTTCACAAAAGTACGTATCGAACGCCATTTGAAAATGTATGTGTTGTGACCTTTCATAGAGGATCTGGTTTCGTTGGGTTGCGCGTCTTACTAACAGCTGAGGTCAATTAATGTTGATGTAATGTCTTCCATACGATAGTCGGAACCTGATGCCAACTTCATAGTGTTACATTTTAATCTAAACAAAATCCTCCTGAATTTAAAAAGACATGTTTGTTAAAGAATCATATATTTCACATTTGTCTTCTCTCAGTCAGTTTATGTAAGTTAGGGGAAATCTAGTATATCGTAGCTTTTTAGCTAGATGTCATGATGTTATTTTAAGAAGATACATTTTTCGAAATATTTCGTGAACAGTTTTACCTTTATACCGTAAGCGAAGGTGATAACTCAATTTTGGAGAATTTGAACACACAACAAAGGCAATCCTCGGAGGCAGACAAGACACGACACGTATTGGTGTCTGATTGACAAAGACAAAATGATTGGACAATTCGATGGTACATTTTATATTAATAAACTGCTAGTGAAGCATTACCTCTATGCATGTAAATACAAGATGTATCCTAAATAATGAAAAGGTCATCCCCACAAAGTTTTAAGTCAAAAAAAAATCTTTTAATGATCTCATGTTAAAATAGGAGTATAAATATATATCTCTTAAATAATGGCAAACATTCACTTTACTTTCTTCATCCTATACAGTTTGATATGAAACACCCCTAGACTTTGCCGAATGAAACACGATATCTATTACAACACAAACACGATAGTTCGTGTCCCATTTCGTCGTCTCCTTCCTCTTGCATGCCGTATAACATTGCCATTTTTCGCCATTCCTCATCAGACGTGCCAGAAACTCTTTCTTTGAAGAGACGACGCAATCGTTTTTCCTCGGAAATTTTACGTAAATGCAGTTCATCATTTCCCCTTCTCCATTTCACTGGAAGGAATAAAAGTATACAAATCAGATATTTTTTCCATGGAATTGACGAACATATCTATCATATAAAACATCAAAAAGTATAAACTTGCTAAATACATTTAATACATGTACTAAATAAAAATCTTCATTTTATATTCATTCAGCAGTTGGATCAAGAAAATAACGAAATATTAAGTTTGAAAAACTTTAAAGTGTGATATGTTACTCAATCTCTTGTATAATATCGATTACTTGAAAAGCAAAGTATAGCAAAAACCAAATAAAGCATGTTATCACGTACACTGACTCTGGTGACGTTATGAGTTTAGAACAATTGCGCTGTCTTTGGGTTATAGCGTACGTACATTTACGGTGTATTTGAGAAAATTAACACATTATTTGGGACGTACCTAAGCTCCGTTCGATCTTTCTGTGCACATGGACGTATATATCTCCCCCTAAGTAACATATAACAACCTTGATGACACAGAGAATAATCCCAAACGCCAAAAGCAAAAGGGCAAAAAGGCCTAGCACGATCCTGTGGAAAATAAGAAGAAAAAGAAAACACTCATTGAAATAGGACCAGGGAATGTTGCGTGTGATTTGACTAATTCACCAATAGAAGTATGTATTTCTCTGCTCAAAGTGGTAGCGCATTATTTATTTTTTCGTTGCTCATGCCCCCGGTCAAGAAAAAAGAATCCAGACTTGGAGTCAAAACATGAATGGTGTCTGATTGTTTTCAAATAGACATTGTACATGATATACGTTAAGACTTTATTATGTACATTTTGACTGATTTCCATGAGTTTCTCAACCCGTTTTTGGACTTTAGCATTATGATACATCACAAGGATTAAGATTTTTTCTATATTAATTACACAGGAGTGAAAGAGTTTTTTAATCCGTAACACTATCCGATGTTCGTCCGTTTAAATGCTTACGTCTGAACATCGTCGCCTTCATCACAGCAGCAACCCCATCCTTTGTTAGGCGTGTCACAACAGTATCCGTTACACCATTCTGTCTGTCCAGTTCGGGCGATCCAACAGTTATCACCTACGACAGAGTCTGTTAAAAGAAAACAGCGTACATACGGCAGGATAATTAAATGCGAATACCAACATCGCCGTATATTTAGATAACGAAAGAACATTTGATTTTATACGAGTATCCACTCCCCAACAGGGTCCTGCCAATCAAGAACAGACTTGGTACAGTTTATTTGGTGAGTTTTACTGGTTTAAAAAAGGTTAAATTAGATCTTTTAGGACATTGACCTAAAATAAAGATCTGTATTATAGAGACCTAGAGGATCAACAATCGGAAAACGTATGTTAACTTATCTACAAATAGTTGGTGGGTTTTTATGATGCTGGCAAATGCTGCAACACATCAAAAACAATTTCAACATATTTGTCCATCGTATGTCCTGGTTAGCAGATCCCTGTGTTTCGGCTCTATCAATTGTGGTAAAGCGACACGCATTACGTTTCCTGAAACTACACGATGTCATTAATACTCTACAACAAGCAGTTAAAACTCCTCTGTCACTACAAGTCGCGCAGTGTTTTTACAAACTTGGCATTAGTTCGATGGTCCGACTTTGGTTGGTGCAACACTTATACTTCGTGGCGGCGAGACAAAAACGTAATGTTGATGGAGATGCTGACAAAGTCAATTGACCATGAAAGGTAGGCCGCATCCAGCATCTGATGCATGGGTTGAGATGTACTACCTAAGATGCATCTATGGTACAAGTTTGGTTGGTGTAACACTTATACTTTCAAAGAAACCAACTTAAACGCAAAAAAAATAAAGTTGATGGCGGCGAGACAAAAACGTAATAATGATGGAGATGCTGACAAAGTCAATGGACCATAAAAGGAAAACAGCATCGAGCTTTTCATGCATGAGCTGAGTTGTACAACCTAAGATGCATCTATTCAACGTTTAAGACTTATAGATTTCGAAGAAGCTTTTGATTTAGTTTCATGTTGTTGATTTTTTTATAGAAAGTAGTCGATTTTTTAAATTTTGGTGAAGGCATTAAAAATGGATAAAAACATTATACAAAAATACCTACTCTGCAATAAGCCAAAATTGTATACTGTCAATGTGTTGTATATATAAAGGTGATTTCGACAAGGGGATCCTGTCTCCCCATCTAGAAACTCATTCAACGAAGAACTGAATGTTTTAGATTGCTTTGGTAAAATATCGGGACTAAAAGTAAATAATGATAAAACTAAGGTGGTTTGGATTGGCAGCAAGAAATTCAGTGCAGCCGTTTACCATCATAGATTGAAACTGAAATGGGGAGAAACAAAATTTAATATGCTAGGGGTTTATTTTTTCAGTTAATCTAGATGAGGTTGTAACTTTCAATTATACCATGTTAATAAAAGTATAAACCAGTAGTCACGCAGAATGTTAACACCTCTTGGTCGGATAGTTGTATTAAAATAAATCATTATACCAAAATTTAATTATCTATTTATATCTGTTCCTACACCGGACATTAATTTTATTCAACAGTTGAACACTACTTTTTTCAATTTTATTTGGCAATCACCAGTCGACAAAACTTAAAGAGGCACTATAGTCTAAAGCTATGAAAATGGGGGTCTGAAAATGATTAATATCAGGAGTTTTATAACAAGCCTTAAGTCTACATGGATAAGAAGATTACTTAAGAATATTGATAAATGTTTGACAAATATTTTTGAAGCAGAACATTTTCCCACCATCAACATATCAGACTTTGGTACTGACTTAATTACAAAATTTAAGACCAAAAATGCCTTCTGGAAAAATGTTTTTCAGGCATGAGTAGATATTTCAGAAGAAACACAAATAAAAATTTAAAATATTGAGCAGTTTCTTATTTTTCCTATATGGTATAACCCATATTTTTTTGCATTGATAACAGGTTTTTTTTCATTAAAAAATGGTTTTAGAAGGGTGTTAAAAATGTGTGTGACCTACTGGACCAAGATAATTCTTTTCTAACCTTTGCAAAAGTTAAACTAAAATTCAATATCGATTCAGTAAACAACTTAATTTATCAAAGTATATGCCAATCAATTAAGCAAAGATATAGACAATTCAACTTTAATTTAACTGTTGAAAACATTGTTGAAAGACCATTTATACCACACCATGTCAATGTAATTATGGAAACCAGGAAAGGTTGTAAAGATATGTATGTTACCCTAAATAATAAAAATAAATATGTGAATACAGCTGAAATAAAATGGAAATCAAAAGATAGTTTTAGAAACATAGACTGGAAACGATTGTATAGCATTCCTTTTAAAAGTACAACGGATACAACGCTACAGTGGTTCCAGTATCGGTTACAAAATCGCATTCTCCCACTAAATAGTTACTTGAAAACTATTGGTGTTTTGAACAATAACCTTTGTAATATGTGTAACACAGAAATTGAAACTATAGAACATATTTTCTAGGAATGTCCTCATTCTTTTAGACTTTAGATTTGAAAAACAAAATATACCACAACTTAGATAAATTAATTGATTTTAGATTAGAAACAGTATTATTTGGAGATACAGAGAATGTTGCTTTACCAATTACCTTTATTATCCTTTATGCAAAATATTAGATATACACTGTACCGAGAGAAAAAAACAAAGACTCCGGTTAGATGGTTTGATTGAGTTTCTAGGATTCCGATATAACATCGAAAATAAATCAGCCTCAAAACATAAGATATTTTTTAACAGATTGGGAAACAAGTTTACACAATCCATACATCTTTGACTTTGTTTATATATTTGATACTCTTTTTCTTGAAATAAATATTTAAATTTCATCTTGATTTTGTAGTGAAATACTGTAATCTGATAAATATAAAACTGCATATATCCGGTATGTTATGGTGGGAGTGGATGTAAGTGCTGGATTTTGTTTGTTTTGTTTTATAATTATCTTTTTAGCGGACATAAAAACCTGTATGAAAACCGGTGTTAAAATGCTATTTCAAAATGTATGTCAGTATGTGTCCATATCAATGTGAATGACCACATGCATGTGTCATAGAAATATACATACACATGTGTATATATATATGTACATTTGACTTGTCTGCACAGTGTATTTATTATTGTTTCGCAACTGCTCGAAATTATGCGTGCATCATGATGCATCTGATTCAATGTATTAAAGTCTGTCTCAATGTATGCATGTATGTACTGTCTGTCTGTCTGTCTGTCTGTCGGTGTCTGTCTGTCTGTCGGTGTCTGTCTGTCCGTCCGTCCGTCCGTCCGTCCGTCCGTCCGTCCGTCCGTCCGTCTGTCTGTCTATGTTCGTCTGTCTGTCTGTCTATCTGTCTGTCTCATGTATATATGTATGTGGGTATTGGTATAGATGTGGATGTATGTTTATCCTTGTTTGTAATTGGAATTTGTTAGGTTGTGAAAGAAGTATGTTTTGTGTTCTTGTCCTGTACTCTATTTGCAAATATTTGATTTTCCCGTTGCCCTTCCTATTTATTCATTTTTTGTTTGACTGATGGATGTTGAATGAGAACCATCCTGCGTGAGGACACCATATTGTTCAGGGGCTCCCCAGCCCTGGCATCCCCTATCAAAATATGTATATATGTATGTATGTATGTATATATCTGCTTGGAAGCAGTATATGTATATACGTATTTATGAAAAAAATGGCTAGGGGAATAAAAAAAAAAGATGCATCTATGGTACAAGTTTGGTTGGTGTAGCACTTATAATTTCAGAGAAAGTAACTTAAACACAAAAACATAATGTTGATGGAAATGCTGACAAAATAATTAACCATGAAAGGTAGGCTGCATGCAGCATTTGACGCATGGGTTGAGATGTACTAGCATCTATGGTCCAAGTTTGGTTGGTGTACATGTAGCACTTATACTTTCAGAGAAAGTAACTTAAACACAAAAACATAATGTTGACGCCGCCGTCGCCGCCATCGCCCGTGGCGGCGAGACAAAAATTGTTTTCAAGATTATCCCAATAGGAAAGCTTATTCGATCTCAAGCTGAATATTTACCTCTAAGGCAACTGCGCAATTGTATGGTGCCAATGAATGGCACATTTCGTTCTGGGCCTACGCCAGACATATGTAGCAGTCAAACTATATATGGCAAGGGTGTTAAGGAAAAGTGAACAATTGGGATGCAAGGCAAGGTATATGATACTCGGAATGTGCTGGTATTGTAATTGGGCACTTACAGTATCTCTGGTCCCTTGCTAGCATACATATGATTACCTAGAACATGTATATTTTCTCTGATCTTGAGCACATGACCCCGAAAATTTGTTACAGTTGGTATGTTTGTATCGATCTCTCCATACGACTTGAGAGTAATATTATATGTTGTAGGGATTGAGATCAATACTGTAAAATACCACGCCCATTCATGGCATACTCGTATCATTGTGGGTACTTGTGGGGGGGGGGGGGGGGGGGGGGGGGGGGGTATCTTACATGAATCCTACAAAAGTCTAATGGTATTCTCAACACATCAGGATATTGATGATTGATGTCATGGCCCTAAATGGCCTGGTCTGCTGAGGAAAGTTACCCTGTATATTTGGAGGAATCAACCTTGTATGACCTTGTTGATTTGAGGACTTGACTCCGTATGACTTTACTTTGAGGGTCCTTGACCTGGAATGGACTTATATTGTTAATGACATTGTTGTGAGTTATGACGAATCTGTATGTTACCCTAACCCCGCATAACATTGTTTTTATTAAAGATATTAACCTTGTATGACCTTGTTATTCCGGGGGGGGGGGGGTTTTCAGAAAAAGATTGAAGGATTCCATTCATAATTCTCTTTAAGACGTATGGCGATAGCGAGAGAAGCAAAATACCGGCTGTGGTGTGGAGCTGTAGCGACCGTTCGGAATTGAAGCCATCATATCGTGTTCTGTTTCTACTAGAGAAGCTTCAGCAATCACATACATCACATCAAACTCACATCAAAAGGTTTACTCATCCAAATGTGTCGGTTAATATCTGAATTCTACAGTTTCTGAGTGAAATATTTTTTTTATCA